GTTAGCGGTCCGCGAATGGCGCGACCTTTCTTTTCTGGATCGTGACAATATTCAGTTTCCGCATGCTCCAGTGTCAAAGATTTTCAACAGAAATCTAGACCAATGACTGTGTGGTAAAAACTTAAACATATAAAAGCTTTTTTCTTAATAAAAATCGTTTTATTATTTTCCCTATAATATCCCGTGGCATTGAACTATCTGAAGAGGAGCCCAGAAATATAACAGGAATGAATTTTTGTGGCGTAAGTATTAGTTAGTTAACTGCTAAAGTAATCGGAGAGCAGAATATAATAAGAAAATCCCGACGACTACAGAAATAATAAGCTTGGTGGCCCTATACAACCCCAAAAGAGTGGTGCAAATGACATATCTAAAGGTTAGCTACTAGGAACAGCATGATTTACCGTAAAAATTTAAATTTATTTGAATATCTCTGTCACAAGTAAAAGTTCAAAACAAATTATAAACACAGGTTTGGGACTTAGGGTGAAGAAATATATCGCTAAACCACAGCCCACTCTATGGTACGAAAATGCGTTTTTAGCATTTTACAAAGATTACAAATTTTGTAGGAAGAATTGAAAAACCCTATTTTCAATGATGAAAGAAACTCCAATATAGTTGATCCAGATGCCTACCACAACTTTGACCACGCTGTCTTTGGCGAAAAGGATCGTTGGTTTAAAGTAAAAAGCATACAGCTTTGGAAAACAAAAAAAAATCGTTTCACTATGGGAAAAATGAATATCAAGAATGAGAAAAGTTCTTTGCGCATTAAGTTGGCAAATTTTTCGCTCATTTCGACCGAAGATATTGGAGATTCCAGCGGTAAAATGTTGCCATTCACACCGTGCGAACAACAAAATCGTTATTCAAGGAACAAAATACCTTCTTTTAGAGGAACTAGGTTCAAATATGGGCTTTAATACCAATGGGGATTTGTAAGATCTACTTCCCAACAAGATTTTTACTTATTCAAAACACAATGATATTGTGTTTAAACTTAAATAAACCAAACTTCACAAATAGACGGAAATAATATAAATTTTACTAAAAAAACTCCGTAAAATACATACATATATGCCGAAAACCTTAAAACAAATAAAATTGTGCAATAGAAATGAAATCCCATACCAACAAATAAAATTACCTTTAAAACATTTTTTAAAATTGTCGGTGACCTAACACTTGTTTCTTTGCACATTTAAATATTTTCTACGAAACTTTCAACATAATGGTACAATGAAATTATCTTGTTATAAACTAGTGCATATCGTCACTAGACACGAATAAGGGCGCGCTAGTGTTTCGAAGGCCAAAAAAGACACATACAAAAAATTTTACGAAAAAAGGCGCTTAAGAAAAACTTCGGCGAAGAAAGACGTGTAACTTAGTTGACGACGAAGAAAGACGCGTAATCATAGATTTATACTTGGCCAAGTACTAGGGTTCCCAGACGTACTGCTTTTGGGAGTAAATGTACTCCTTTTGATTGCAATGTACTCACTTGTACACCCAAAAAAAAATATCTGGAAATGTACTCCTTTCCCAGTTTTGTACATCTTTTGTATTCCCTTTTCCAGCTACTAATATTTTATCATGTGCAGGGTGTAAATAAATAACTGTTGCACAGGTTTTTTTTTTAATAAAAGTGGTATTTCTATATTTTGCGAAAAAAACTACTCTATTGTTAATTATCCACAAATTTTATTTAAATTTTATTGATTCGTTTTTAAATTTTAACCTTCTTTTGAGTTTACCAGCGGTAAACACTTTGAGAGAAAAGCGCAAGCTGAACGCAAGCCTTCGTCGGTTACGTTATTACATATCTTCTGTAACGATAGGCTAATTTCCCCCATTTGGCTCCTTTATACTCCGTCTTTTGTTCAACATAAGGCCTCATACTCTGCAAACGAAAAGACTCGGAACTGGTAACTAGGAGGCCATTCATTCGACCAACCCTATACAGTTTTTTCTTTTTTTATAAATACAAAGTCAAAGAAAAAATACACCTTAAAAAACGTGTACTTATCTTCCAAAGCTGGCAGATGCAAATAAGGATGAAAATTTTAAAACTAATTAATAAAATTAAAGTAAAATATTTACAAAGTTAACAAAAAAATGATTGTTTCGCAAAATCTATAAATAACCCTTTTATTTTTCAAAAAACCTGTGCGAAAGTTATTATTCTACGCCCTATACTTTGCCATTCATGTCGTGGCAAACACCACTTAGTAAGCAAAGTTAAGTGTGATAGTGAAAAGTTGTAAGCATGGTCGTAGCCAGGTCGGTGCAGGGCGCTCGGGTATAAAAATCAGAAAAATATTAAATCAATTTTAAGGCTTAAATTAAAAAAGTGGCCACACATTCAGGAAGAGCCTGGAATTCTTTTGTAGAATTTAGTTATTTATTTTTAACATTTATTGTTGCTTTGAAGAAGTTTTCTATGATATCTTTATTTGTTTGTACCTAATTAATGGTAATTTGTAACAAACGCCTACCAAATCAGGTTCCAAACTACCAAATCTTTGTTCTTATTTCTTCTTCTTTGTTGTTATTAAAGCGAGATTTCTTGGATGTACAGGGTTTTTAGCTACACGAATTGGCAGTATAATATTGTTTACAGTGCTGGTTAACCATTCATGCTTCGGGCTTTTAAACAAAAGAATTAACGTATTGCGTAAAAAACCTTTTGTAAAAATGTGATTACCTTTGAGGTTAATTCAATTCATATCAAACATTTTTAATGTTTAAAAAAACAAAATCAGACATTTTATGCATTTCAATAAAACAAAATTCCAAATCTTGTTTCAATTTGCATACACTCACCCTTTTTCTACCAATAAACTCACACTTTGAAAATTGCCTATCACCAATTTTTCTTTCAAGACGATAGGCAATTTTTCGTTCAATTTCAACAGATGATAGATCATAGCTTTGGGAAGGGAGTTTTTATTTCTAGAAAATTATGTGCTTAGTAAAATTTAGGAAAAACAAAAAAAAAATTATTCGTGTGAGCAAAGTGAAGGCAATGTTTTCAACATGTAAACGCAAAGAGAACAAATTTTAATGCCAAGTTCGATTGAATTTTCAAAACATTTTTGCCTACCAAAAGCTTCATCAAACCAACCAAACTACCAAAGGAGAGTGAAGCTACCAATTTTGGTCCAATTGGACCAAAACGGCAACGCTGGTCGAGAGTTTCACTGAAATAAAAATCTCCTCTCTCAATTAAGTTTACACGGTAGAGCAACTCTAGGAGATATTCACTCTAGCTAGAGACCAAATAGAGAAATCTCAACTTTTATCTATCACGTACTCTACAAGCTGTGTACACGGTAGACAATAGTTACCTCTCGCCTAGAGTTAGTTTTCTATCTCGAATTGTTGTCAACGCTTGTTGTATGTATGTATATATGTATTTACTACCCAATGCCCGCTTGCTTCCCGGTGCCTAAGATCTTTTGCGTTGGCCAATACAAAAATAGCGTTTGAAAGCAAAATCGGTCTGTAAAGTAAACATTTCTAGTTTAAATTGAAACGAATAAAGAGCAGAATCCTCCTCACACATAGGCCAAGAATAGTGGCGCTGTGATAGCACATGGAATACTAATCCCTTTCGATGTCATGAGTTTTACAGTTGGTCTTATTTGTACCTGTGAGATCTCTGCCAAGCGTACGTAATATTCTTCTATGATCTAGCAACTTCAACATTGGTCCCTAAACCATGTAAGCCAATAAAAGTCCTTATAAGGAAACTAAAGAGCACATATGAACGTTTTCAGTTATAGGAGGGTCAAGAATACTCGCCCCCCCCCCCCCCCCCCCCCCCCCACAGGATGAAAAGTTTTCCCGTACATTGACTAAATGAGTCGTGTGATCTCTTAAATATCGTTTCAATGAAGCCATTGATATACCTACCGGGTTCCTTTTTTTACGGATGTGGTCGAATCTTTCCTTATCAATTTGCCGAGCAATTTCGTCAATCGGAGATAGGTGCAAGATCGCATTTAGAGTGTATGAGGGCGTCAGGCAAATGTGCGCTTGCACAATGTTGTGGTCATATGAAAGGTAAATTCATCTATGTATGATGAATATAGGGCCAAAGCAGACCAAACCCCGTGCGGGTTTCTATATATTTCAGCGGCAGCGCAATCCATTAGGTCCCTTTTCTGCAAAACCACTGCTTGTCATGAAGTAAATACGCATTATGATTTTGAATCAGATTTTATAAAATATAACGGGTTCATTTTTTGGAAACGAATTATTCATCATACAGGTAGCTCACTTTACGAATTCGAACGAAATCGATTAATAAATAAGACTTTTATAAGTAACTCTGCTCCAGCGCCACCAGCGTGTTTTCTAGTAGGCTATAATAGGACTGTTCGATAAAAGGGTTTTCTTACCGACTTGCGTAAATTGCAAGATTACTAAATCGTGGGCACGACAAACGAGTGAAAAATAATCTAGACAAAACTAACGAAAAGACACGTCTGTTTGCGAAGCTGCTCTAATTTTAACTCGTTCTCTTTTTATTTTCCATTTAATGTGTACATAGATTCGGAGTTCGAGTTCCAATACAGTTGCAAGTCTTTCCAGCCTCCATGGCCGTAGTACAATTCAAGTAAGCTTTACAATTTCATAGAAATATTAGGGTAGCTTTGAGTTAACGATTAAACTTGGATTCATATTAAAGCGTTTGACTTATAAACTAAAAGTAGAACTACGGTGATCCAACATCCCGCCCTCCTTGAAAGTGTCACTTTCAAGCAGGCAACAGTGCGATTTTGTGAATAGGGCGTCGGATAGTTCCTTTTGTTGTTTTTATGTCAACGACGCGAATTAGCCCATCCTTTCCTGGAATGCAATTCGAAATCCTGCCCATAACCCATTTTTGTGGCGGAACGTGGTCTTCGTGTATTATAACGAGCGATCCACTTGCGATATTCGTCTTGCCCTTGGTCCACTTGGTGCGACACTGCAATTCATTTAAATAGTCATGTGACCAGCGCTGCCAAAAGTGTTGCTTCACGGCTGTGATTCGATGCCAATGGTTTAGGTGATCGATCTGCTTGTACGATTCTGAGTGCCTTTAGCGAACACCCAATCAGCAGGTGCCCCGGAGTCAACGCTTCGCAGTCACTTGGATCTGTGGATAGTGGGGCAATGGGCCGAGAATTCAAAATGGCCTCGATTTCAATTAATGCCGTTGACATCTCCTCAAACGTTAAGCGAGCACCAGAAAGTGTTCGTTCTAAGTGACCTTTGGCTGCCTTCACCGCAGCCTCCCATAGGCCGCCGAAGTGTGGTGCTCTGGGGGGTATAAAACGAAAGTTAACAAATTCTTGTGAACAAAAACTTACTATTTCGGTTTGCGTTTTTGAATCAAATAAGAAGTCTTTAAGGGCAGCTAATTTGGACTTCGCTCCCACAAAATTTGTAGCGTTGTCGCAAAAGATGTCGCTGGGCAAGCCCCTGCGACCGATGAAACGCTTTAGAGCAGCGACGAATGCTTCGGTCGAAAGATCCGAAAAAGCTTCGATGTGTACGGCTTTGCTTGATAAGCATATAAAAATGGCGACATAGGTCTTGTAAGGTACCTTTCCTCTGATCCGAAGGTATGTATTAATTGGGCCGCAATAATCAACTGCAACTCGTGAAAAAGGTCTGCTCGGAGTTAGTCGCTCAACAGGCAAATTACCCATCATTTGCCCAAGAAGCCGTGGACGGTAGCGTACACAGTGGATGCAACCATTGACAATGCGGCGAGCGAGATTTCTTGCATTGATTATCCAAAATCGGCGACGGATAAGAGCAATAAGCGTTTTCGGACCAGCGTGGTAGTTTGTGCGATATAAATGACGAACATAATTTTCGACGAACTGACTCTTCGAAGGCAGAAACACAGGATGTTTTTGTTCTTCTACGAGGTCAGCATTTTTCAAGCGTCCGCCAACCTTCAGTAGCATGAACCCTTCAGTAGAAGAGATAAATGGGTTCAAATACTTCAAAGGTCCTCGAGGCTCGCGATTCGTCTTGACACGATCAATCTCGGCGCTAAAATAATGGCGTTGGATTAAACACACGATGCACCAGAGAGCATGCTGAAGCTCCTGTGGAGTTAACGAGGCCGACTCGAAGGGTCTGTTGAGTTTGGTGTTGATTTTGTAATAAAATCGAAAGATCCAAGATACCACTCGAAGTGAATAAATGTGCGATCTAAATTTTTCGATGACATCAAGCATGTTTGAATGGGCGACAATGCAGAATGCAGATTTGCGTTTTTCCCTTTCAACTTCTGCCATATCCAACTGGTTATGCACTGGTTTGCATGGCCACTGGTCCTCTGGCAACAACAAAAATGATGGCCCCGTGTACCAGATTGAGTCGTGAAGTTCCTGGACTGTGCATCCCCTAGTCACGATATCTGCAGGGTTATCTTGTGTAGGTACGTATCTCCAAGTACAGCCTTTGGTGAGTTCTTGAATTTCCGCTGCCCTGTTGCCAACAAACGTCGAGAGTGTAGCTGAATGCGAACGTAACCAATGCAGCACAATTGACGAATCGCACCAAAAAAATGTATGTCCGTAGTACTTGCTCATGGAAGATTGTATTTGTTGAAATACCTTTGCGAGTAGGTGAGCACCACACAGTTCCAACTGCGGCAACGATCGCTTTTTTATCGATGTGACCCGCGACTTGGCTGTCAACAATCTCACAGTTGTGCGATTGGCATGATCCGTAGAACGAAGGTACAAGCAACAACCATATGCGCGGTTGGACGAATCGCAAAATCCATGTATTTGTACTGAAGCCCTGGGTTGTGTGACGCAATATCTTGGCACGCTAATCGATGGCAACGAAACAAAATCGGTGATGAGATTGTGCCATGCCGTATGTAGGTTTTGTGGCACCGATTCATCCCAATTCAATTTTAATAGCCACAACTCTTGCAACATTATTTTGGCCTTGATTGTGAGTGGAGACAAAAGACCGAGCGGGTCGAATAACGACGAAGCGAGAGATAAAATTGTTCTTTTTGTCACCTTACCATTAAACGGCTTCTTGGGCTTAAACGAAAACTGGAACATGTCTTGTGTTTGGTTCCATGTTAGTCCTAGTGTGCTAGTTGTGTTTGAATTGTCGAAACTCATGTACTTTTCCTCCTCATTGTTCGTAAGGCTTTGGTAATTCGAGTGCCACTTCGCTAAGTCAAAGCCACCCTTGCTAAGAATTTCGGTTACCTCCCTTTTGATTTGCGAGAGTTCACGAAATGAGTCTGCACCACTGAGCAAATCATCGACGTAGAAAGAAGAGTTGATAATTTGTGCACCAAGAGGATACTGAGTTCCGTACTGGTCGGCTAAGTACTTGAGCGTACGCACTTCCAAAAATGGTGCAGCAGACGTGCCATAGGTAACGGTGTTTAGTTGGAAAGAGCGCAGTTCCTCCATCGGTGAAGACCTCCACAAAATTAACTGGAAGCGGCGATGAGCTGGCTGCACTAGCACTTGCCTGTACATTTTTACTACATCAGCAGTCAGTGCATAGCGATGTAGACGAAAGCGAAGTAGCAAAATGAAAAGATCATTTTGGATGGTAGCTCCCACTTGAAGTATGTCGTTTAGCGATTTTTGGGTAGATGTGCGACACGACGCGTCGAAGACAACACGTAGCTTTGTTGTGGTACTGGTGGGCCGAAGTACGCAGTGGTGAGGCATGTAGAAATGTGGGCTTGACAAGTCAACGTTTTCAAGTTTCGTCATGTGGCCCAATGCCTCATATTCTTGCATAAAATCTACATATTGTGACTTAACTTCCGGTTGCGATTGAAGGCGACGTTCGAGCGAAATTAATCGTCTAAGCGCAGTACCATACGATGTACCCAGAACAGCGACATCGTTCTTAAAGGGCAATTGCACTATGACTCGACCCGTAGCATCACGATCCACGGTCTTCACAAAAAATGCTTCACAAGCAGCCTGTTCATCGGTGAGTGGCGATGCATTGATAGTCGTATTGTCGATTTGCCACAATCGCTCCAATTGCTGCTGTATTATTTCCTCACAAGATAACAAACACGGTGCTACGTTGATAGATGCTGGACCATTGGTAAGCGAAGTATCCGATACGCTGCATGAAGTAGCTAGCGACGACGTGAGTGAGGGTGAAATGGATGCTGCGATAACTGTTGGTGAATTGTATTTGCCAGCAACGATCCACCCCAACAAAGTCTTCTGCAAGATTGGCAGTGATTCCTTTAACTTAATTTGCCCGATGGATAGGACGTTGAAGAAGCAATCAGTTCCTAATAGCAAATCAACTCCCTGCGATTTGTGAAAATGTTCGTCGGCCAGATTTATATTCGCTGGCAAGTTCCAGGATGAAACGTCTATGTCAGGCACTGGTTGATGTGAAATGTGTGGCGTTACGAAAAACTCAAGTGGCAACTCAAAATCTGAATGACGTGATTTGATGGTAGCTATAGCCTTATGCCTTATGGTTGTTGGTGAATTGCCGATGCTTAAAATTTCCACGCGTTGCTTCTTCCTTTGCAGGCGTAGACGTTGCGAAAAACTGTCAGTTATAAAATTTACTTGTGAGCACGAATCAAGTAATGCTCTACCAAGTTGGTAATTGCCTGCAGCATCTCGCACTAATACGATTGCGGTTGCAAGAATTACTTGCTCGAAGGACGAATTACCCAAATGAGTATGTACAATCGCACTAGCGTCGCGCGATGTCGTTGAACTCACTTCAGATTTTCTACATAGCGACGAATGATGGCGAGCTGAACATGATTTGCATTTGAAAGTCGACGGGCATTTTGAAAGGAAATGCCCTGGAGCAAGGCAGTTGTTGCACAATCCAAGTTTCTTTACATTTTCGAAGCGCGAGCCAACATCTAGCGATTTATAACGAGAGCAATCTTTGATGACGTGTTCGTTGCTGGAACATAGAACACAATTACGCTGGGAACTTGTGATAGAAAAGGCGTGGCGATGCTGTTGATTTGCCTTTCGCGATGATTTGGATTGCTCAAACTTCTGTGACGACGAGTGTGATGTATCTTGATTGCCGCTGGAATCTATGGACTCAAAATATTGGCAGCGCCTTTCGAGTAGTTTGGCACAATCTTTCCATGTCGGCAAGCTCGTAAAATCGAGCGACTCCTTCCATTTTCGTTGAGTGTCTTCATCTGCCTTTCCAATCACAAGATGTATCAGCATTGCGTTGGCTATGTCGCGGTCTGAACCCAAGGAAGAAAGTGCGCTGTACAGCGCCGATGCTGTGTCTACAAGATGTCTTAACTGGCTACCTTGTTTAGCTGCTGCCGGAAGCTCAAAGAGTGACGTGATGTTTTCCATGAATATCAAAGTGGGGTGGTCATAGCGCGACTTCAGTCGTTCGAGCGCCTTAGGATAATTCTCGTTGCTAACTTGAAACGCCTTGACGGTGTCGAGTGCTGGACCCTGAAAACAGTTCAACAAATGATTAAATTTTTCTACGTTAGATAAAACCATTTCCCGATCTATCATTTGCTTGAAGGAAGTAATGAAGTTGTTGTATTCTGAATATTTGCCACTGAATGAGGGCAGTTTAAGAGCTGGCAATTTGTGCGGATGCGGCTGTGAAACTGACAGTGTTGACTGTAAAGTTGAAGTGTTTACTTCTTCACCCAATTGTGATTCAATTTCAAGCTTAATTCCTATATACAATTCTTCCAGATCGCCACGAGAATTGTCATCAGGGTCCAGCGCTTCAATTTGTGTTTGATATGACAGAATCTGCTTAAAATATGATTCGGCTATTCCAAATCGACACTTTAGTTCCGCAGAAGATAATGTTCGACCATCGCCACGACCATTTGCATCGATTACACTTTTAATGCGGCTGATATTTCGCTTTGTATTTGCACGATGCTGCTGTAATTCCGTCAAGTTCATTTTGACAGCGTTTAACGTAACAGCTGTCAACAAACGAAGATGACAGCTGGGTGTGAGGGTGCAAATATGTAAGCAAATTAAGTTCAAACGGTGGAAGTCTTTGCTAAGCGTTGTGCTAAATTTTATTGAGATATGTAGTTATGCCAACTTAACGAAGAGCGATGGCTTGAGTGATGCCTTCGACCATACGAAGTAGTTAAAGATGACTCGAAGTGTAGGTGTAGACAATTACGCCGCTGTTGGCAAAAAGTGCCCTTGACGACTACGCAAGGTGAAAGATGACGTCGGCAGCAACAAGAGAATCGACTATAGCAGCGACGTTAGCAGCAAGACAGAACGTACGTATTGCGCGACAAGATGAATCCGGGGAATTGCGAATCGACGAATTTAATGCGAATTTAATTTTATCTATTTATTTTATCGAGCCCCACGTTGGGCGCCAAAATGTTCGATAAAAGGGTTTTCTTACCGACTTGCGTAAATTGCAAGATTACTAAATCGTGGGCACGACAAACGAGTGAAAAATAATCTAGACAAAACTAACGAAAAGACACGTCTGTTTGCGAAGCTGCTCTAATTTTAACTCGTTCTCTTTTTATTTTCCATTTAATGTGTACATAGATTCGGAGTTCGAGTTCCAATACAGTTGCAAGTCTTTCCAGCCTCCATGGGCGTAGTACAATTCAAGTAAGCTTTACAATTTCATAGAAATATTAGGGTAGCTTTGAGTTAACGATTAAACTTGGATTCATATTAAAGCGTTTGACTTATAAACTAAAAGTAGAACTGCGGTGATCCAACAAGGACCATATATGCAAGGTATAACCTCCGACAATTTGACTGGTTTTTGAGCTTAGTCCGAACAACGATAAGGGCTATCATTTTATGTATGCATGTACATATAAGTATGTTTCGAATAAAACAAAAAACACGATGAAAGTAATAAACGTTTCGAATTTGCATTAACAAAATCGGTTCATAAATAGGACTTTTATCGGGTTCGTTTTTCTCAAATGCTTTTTTCATCATGCAGGTAGCTTATACTTTGAATTTGAACGAAATCGGTTCATAAATATGGCTTTTATAAATAACTCGACTCCCGCGCCACCTAGCAGATCTATTTTTGGTAAACGTATTTTTCATCATGCTGGTAACTTACTTTTTGAACTGAAAAGAAATCGGTAAATAAATAAGATTTTTATAAATAACTCGACTCCGGCCCCACCTAGCGGGTCTATATTTCGCATATCGCTAGCTTAGAGTGAAAAGTTGCTAAGTCCACTTTTTATGAAAACTCATATTTTGATATAGGAGGCTAGAGAAATTGAATACGCATCGTTTCGAAAATTATAAAGGTACTTGTTTTATTTTTTCCTCTTCATAAGCAATAAACGGAAAATTTGCTAAGTCCAAAAGAAGCACCGCAAATCCGATAAGGCCAAAATAATACGACATCTTTTAATAAATATCGAAACCTTCTGATTCCTATGGAGTTTTTCTTTGCTTTAAACGCGCAAAATGTTTGATTCAAAGACTTGCGAAATAGTTAAAGAAAATGGCTATAGGAACATTTTTTCCTCTCCTGTAAAATTTTATAAATGGGACTTAGCAACTTTTCTTTCCAAGCTAGCGATATGTATTTCTCATAGTGAAGGTAGTACACAGTTTAATTTTCAGTGAAATCGGTTCATAAATACGACTTTTATAAATAACTCGACCCCAGCGTCACCTAGCAAGTTTTCTGGTAGCCTGTAATAGGACCATATATGCAAGGTATGACCTCTGAAAATTTGACTGAAATCTATGCAGTAGTTTTTGAGTTAACTCCGAAGAACGAAAACGGCTATTATTTTATATATATTGATACCAAAGCCACGATGTAGAAAATATAGTTGGCACCATCAGCGGAGCGCTAACCCTTCGTCGATTTGACAGCATTCACCTATTTTCTGACGTCATAAAATACATTTTCGCAATATGAACACGAACTAAATTTTCAAATTGTACTTATTTGCCGAATAAAATTTTACCTAAAAGTAGACAAATGTACCTAAAAATTAAACATGGCAACCTCTCTCTTCGGTACTATGTGTACTTTTGTACTCGCATCAAACAACCTTTAATATTTAAAATTCTCATGAAAGGAGTTTCCCCGAGCAGTTCCAGCCAAACTACTATATATATGTATTAGGCCGGGTCGATTTGTGGGGAGGCAAAAAAATCGCCCATTGCTCTGTGAAAATCAAATTCTAGGGATCAAAATAAGAAACTTTGCCGAAGGAACCATACCTCTAAAACGAATTCTGATGTCCCCCAATTTGGGTCGAACTTTTGGGTAAGGGCAAATTTTGAAAAATCCCACTTTGACCCATTTAGAGTGCTCCAATCGAGTCCAAATGTATCACCCCCACTAACTTTGGAGGCCCGACCCACCGATGCCAGTGGCACACCCCCGTGGGGGTTCACCATACAAACATTTCAAAAAATCGCCGGTTTTGCACTTTACATGAAAAAATCAGCGAAATGCCTATGTTTTTTCTTTTTGGAGTTTATTTTTCTCTTTAGAAATTTATTTAGTCAGAACATATGTAAATGAAACAAGTAAGAAAGTCTAAGTTCGGGCGGAGCCGAACATTAAATACCCGGCGCAAGTATTAAAGATATGTTTTCCACCTTGCCGAAAGCTACCGCTACATGATAAGCCGGGGTGTATACATTTTAAGTAAATTAGCGTCCTTAAATTTCGACATATTGAAATTTCAAGCATTTCTGAAATTTATTGTTATTTGAAAAGCGGCCGTAATTTAAGACCGACTTCAACAATTTTCAACGGTTTGCTTTTATGTGGCAAGCACAATAACCATACCGAGTTTGGTACAAATTGCTAGAACGGTTAGCGAGATACATATATGTAATCACAAGTGGGCGGTGCCACGCCCATTTTCCAAAATTTTATCATAAACGTATTTCTTGGTAAAGAATTGTTGCAACCATCAATTTTGAATAAATTAGCTTTGATATTTACTGATTTATCGAAGATTTTGTATTTCTCGAAATTACCGTTATATGGAATATGGGCGTGGTTATTGTCCGATTTTAAAAAGTTTCGGCCATTTGGTATGCTGTACCAGGACCAATAACTGTGCCAAGTTTGGAAGAAATTTGTGCAGCGGTTACCAAGATATACACATGTAACCATAAGTGGGCGTGGCTACGCCCATTTGCCAAAATTTTAAAATATTGTTATTTTTCGTCTAAAACTCATTCTAAATATCAATTCTGAGTGAATAATCTTCAGTAGTTACTAAAATATCGTTTTCGTATTTACCGTTATATGGGAGGTAGGCGTGGTTATTGTCCGATTTCGCCCATTTTCAATACCATCCGTCCTACACCCAAAAGAAGTTCACGTACCAGTTTCATTAAGATATCTCAATTTTTACTCGAGTTATCGTGTGCACAGACGGACGGACAGACAGTCACCGCTTAATCGATTTCTCTTTTCATTCTGATCATTTTTGTATACATTTGTCTATATCTATCTCGATTCGTTTTGCCTGTTACAAACAACCGTTAGTGAACAAAGTTATAATACCCTTGTGCACAAGTGCGCTCGGGTATAAAAATGAATTTAACTTAGTAATACAAAAGAAATTAAAAAAAATTGTAGAAATTAGCGTTTTTACAACCCTTTTAAAACCAAGGCATCACTGTGATGCATTTGCATGTCGTAAACATAGTTGTGTGGGTTTTTTATTCAACCGTTTTAAAAAATGAAGGTATCACTGTGACACAATTGCAAATCGGAAAATTGCTTGTGTGCGTTTTTTAAGACACATCTGCATGTCGTAAACTTACTTGTGTAGTTTTTTTACAACCCTTTTTGTGGGTATTTTAAGGCACCTTCTTAAGAAATGCGCGTTTTTTGCAACCATTTTAACAATTAAGGTATCACTGGAATGCACCGCAACCCTTTTAAACAATGAAGTTATCACTGTGACACAATTGCAGATCGTAAAATTGCTTGTGTTGTTTTTTTTAAGCCACCACAAGACACAGCAGGTAGAATTGAAATTACCATTTCATTCTTATTACCTCGTCTCGTAGACCATATATAACGCAACAGTTTTTGTGAATGCATTAAGTCGTTGTGAAGAACTCAAAGTGTGAAGTGCTAATTTCAGATAAAAAAATATTTCAAAAAAAATAATAAGTGAAGTGACCATTCCAAATCAAAAAGTTTACAATGAATCCACCATCCTCTACACCGCAAGATGAAGCAACTACATCAACAACTATCGAAAACCCAATGAGTCATATACCCAAGCATGATGTTACTGTTTTTGGTGTGTCTACTGATTTAACTGATCTTAATTTACCAACCCATCTGGATATCTTGAGATATTATTTTTACTTAAGCGAACGTGCTAAAACAGAACAAAAAAAGTTTTCCCATAAATCATTCACTATTCAAGTACAAGATAAGTTGATTGGAATTTGGGAAAAACTTGGTATGGAAATAATGCTGAAAAAAAATGTATTTAATAAATTAAATAAATTGCTTGACAAGTATCAAGAGCAAATCAAGAGAAGAAACAACACGCAACAATTTACAGAGTATGTAAAATCTCTGGAAACAATATTTTACATTGGATCATGTAAATGCGATTTGAAGGCAGCTCCATGTGCATGCGGCTGGGTTCCCGAACGCCTCAAAGAGTTCATGCACGATCAACATAATCAGAGAAGACTAACAATGGATGCATTTGTGATGGAAACTGAAGAGCAAGGAGCAACGTCTATGTCATCAATGCCAACATACCAAGATCCCGATGATTCAACATACGCACCGCCACCGGTTCGAGAAGATATGGATAGAAGCACAAGTTCACAATA